TTCACCTTTTTTCCCCCCCCCCCCCTCTATATCATTCATACTGTACTGTATACATAATACACTGACAGGTGAGCAGAGAGAAACAGATCCAGACAGACAGATGGAGATTGCAGTGTCTGTAGCCGATCCCAGGCACTGTCTCCTATGAGCAGAGTGTGTATGTAGTTTCAGCAGGCACTCACCGGGGCATGAATGCAGGGGCTTGGGTCGGACCAGCAGGGAAGGGCACACGGAATACAGTGACAGCTTCTCAAAGTAATCGCAGGTCTCCTTGGATAGAATCTCATCGATCATAAAAGATTTGTATCGCCGCCTGGCAGCCTTGATTTGTCCCGGGGCGGAGAGTCGGAGCTCGGCCTGGCAGTGCATGCTGGGGGGGGATCCGGGTGACACTGTGCCGTCCTCTCCGCTCCTCTCTATATAAACTTCATAGCAATTCCCTTTTTAGGAGTCTCCAGCTGTCAATCAGTGTGTTGTGTGATCTCTCCCGGATCACATTGTGTGAGTGCAGGGAGGGGGCTGTCTCATCACCTCTGTGCCTGCCTCCTACACACCTCTGTCTGCACCCTCTACCCTCTGTGACCGGCTGTCTCTCTGCTCACTCTGCACCTCTTATAGTCTGTCTCTTCCCACTCTGCATTTCTCACAGAATCTCTCTGCTCTCTCTCTTCTGTCTTCATCTCTGCTCTCTCCTCTCTTTTCTACTCTCTCCTCTATCCATTCTTTCTTCCTCTCCTCTCTCTCCATATCTCTCCTCAATGTCTTCTCTCTTTCTTCATCTCTGCTCTGTTGTCTCTTTTCTACTCTATCCATTCTTTCTTTTCCTTCCTCTCCTCTCTTTCTTCCTCTCCTTTCTATCCATTCTTCCTCTCCATATCTCTCCTCAATGTCTTCTCTCTTTCTTCATCTCTGCTCTCTCCTCTCTTTTCATCTCTCTCTCTCTCTTCTCTCTCTTTCTTCCTCTCCATATCTCTCCTCAATGTTTTCTCTTCTCTTCATCTCTGCTCTCTTCCTTAGTCTCCCCTCTATCCATTCTCTCTCTTTGTTCCTCTCTTCATCTCTCTCCATTCTTTCTCTTCCTCTATTCTTTCTTCCTCACTCTCCTCTCTTTCTTCCTCTCTCTCTTTGCTCATGCTCTTTTCCTTCCTCTCTCTCTTTCTTCCTCTCCTCTCTCTCCATATCTCTCCTCCTCTCTTTCTTCCTCTCTCTCTCTCTCTCTCTCTCTCTCTCTCTCTCTCTCTCTCTCTCCATCACCCCCTCACTCC